GGCTGTGGTGGGTACGTGGCCCTGCGGGCCGCTCCAAGCAACAGCCTGGTGGACCAAACTCTCACAAGTCGAGCCTGGCCTCGGGCCGGGCTTGGGGAGTAGAAGAACTCCCAGAACCCCATCAACCAGGTATCAACCAGGTAACCAAGCACTTCACTGTTACCTGCGTGCTTCAGCTGGGGTTGCTGGGGATGCGCTTTGGGTTGATCCGGTTTCCCTCGTTCCCTGTTCCAGGGCTCGGGGTCTCCCAGGTTGTCCGCAGGGTTAAGTCTAGCCAGCCTGCGGTCTCTCCTCACATCCACGACGTTCGGAAGTTTGCAGCTTTGACTGCCGTGTTTGATAACATGTCTTGGGCTCATATTCGGGCGTGTGGATTTTGGAAGTCGAACAGGGTCCTGGCTGCCCGTTATCTGGTGAACGTCCCTGCTCCTCGGCATTCTTGTGCTGCTTTGGGTCGCAGGTTGCAGCCAGTTGTCTCGACTTCGCGTTGAGGAGTTTGTGGCCGCCGCCTCCCTGGTAAGTCCCTATTTCCTTCTCTTTTTGGGTATGTAGCTCCAGGGAGCCGTAGGGGCTCCCCACAGAAAACCAGCGTTGAATGTAATGAAACGCCATTTTCTGGGTGAGCCCCGAAGGCTCCCTTGGCTACCCTCCCTCCCTCCGTTTGCCGTTTTTTTTTTTTTTTTTTTTTTTTTTTTTGCGTTGGTTGAAGCCTAGTTTCCGAACTGAAGGCAGCCGGCGCGGTGAGGTCCGGGGCCTCCCCCCTCACCCTCCCGGGGAGGGGAGGGCTGCGCGGATGACCGGCGCGGCAGTAAATATATTGTTTGATTGTTTCCTTGGGATTGTAGAGTTTCTACCTCTCTGTTCATTTTTTTGTTGTAGTTTTTTACCGTGTGGGGTTTTTGCTATGCCTACCTTTCTGGGTGCCTAACCCCGGTCGATGGCAGATAAAGAAAACCCCCAACCATAATGGGTTTTCCAGGGCCATTGCTCCCTGAAACCTCTCTGAAGGGGCCAGGTTCTGGCGCTGGTCCCTGGTAGGTCTGAACTCCATAGCTAATGTCCTGGTCTAACATAACATACATTAGCCCGATAAGCTCCAGGAAGCCTCCGGGGCTCGCCCAGAAAATGGCACTTCATTACATTCAACACTGGTTTTTTACCTAGTCGTGTGTTCTTTTCAACAGAGAAGTTATCTTTTCTGAAGCACTACTGCAAGTAAGATCGAATAAGCTACAGAGGTAGCTTATGTAATAAAATGGCTCTTTCTGGTCGGCCCCTCAGTAGCTTTTTGTTACTGAGGGGGGCCGACCTGTCATTCTTCTTTTCTTATGGGGTATTGTGGGTCAGTACTGGCAGCTTGTGAGTGATGCAGTTTTATATCAGAACCTTCAGTGGCTTGTTTTACCATCTAGTGATGATCAAGCAAGTTGGAATTTTTGCCCATTGCAAATTATTGTTGGCATGGCTTTTATTTCACTTTTTTCTTTGAAGCAATGTTTTCTTTCGTATAGACTTTCTAGTAGATTTTCCTCAATTTTTGGGGAAGTGCCCATTCTCTCCTTGTCTTGTTGAGAGCACGTTTCTGGTTGTGGCTCCTAGTACAAGCTGAAGGCTTAGCAATACCAGTGTGTTACCTCTGGGGAGCTACTGATGTGCCAAAAAGAAAGGGGCATTTCATTACATTGAACCTTTGAAATTTTGTATTACATTTATAGTAAGTTAAGATCTGCTCTTTTCATTTATACCAAAATCCTTAATATTCCTTACATTTATACCAAAATCCTTAATATTCCTTACATTTATACCAAAATCCTTAATATTCCTTACATTTATACCAAAATCCTTAAAAATCCTTACATTTATGCCAAGATCAATTCAAAATTCTTACTACTTTTCTTAGTGGTGATATAATCCATTTTGAGTCTCCATTTTGTAATGGAAATATGATGTTACTCAATATCAGGTGCTACGTTTTCCTCCCGAGAAAGAATATCATAAATCCAAATAATAAGCATTAATTAGCAAAGGATTTTTATTTGTTGTCTCCATTTATATTATTTTCTGATAATGAAAAGTCAACAAAAGGGATCATTCACCAGAAATATTATGTATTGGTAGCCTTCACCATGATGAAATATTTCTATAATGTGGAATGCACCACATTGTTGATGGCATGACATAATTATGCTGATATAACATACCTAGCATCAGTATGTATAGAAAAAAGAAAGAAAATACAGGTATAGGTCAACTTGGATGGGTTTTATGTTTGCTGCTTCACTTACTCGACACAAACAAAACATTATGTAAACTAATAATTCTGCGTACACACAGCACTGTAACACTTCTTTCCTGGGTAGTGTTATTTTCTGATTGTCTGTGACTACATAATACAGAAAATAGCTATTATTTCCCTCAAACCTTGCTTTGACCTTTGCCTAAGACAGTATATAAAAGACACCTTGAAGGTATCTGAAGGTTAATGACTGTGAAAGAAGTGTCTTGGCTCTGTATAATGAGTCGGTAGTCTTAAAGTACCTTCAGTGCAAAGATCAAAGCAAAATTTGAAGGAAATTATAGCCATTTTATATATTTTGGAGATATAAGCAATCAGTAAATAACCCTTATTACCAGGAAAAAATTTACACTGTGTAATTGATAAAACAGTGAGTACTGAATATAGGTGTACAATGTAATAAGTACCCATATAGTGCATGTAAACCTGGCACATCCCAAGAGAAATATCAATCAAGCTACTCTGGGAGTGTCTTTCAGGAATAGATTCAAGTACTAGCGAAAAAAAAACAAATTGTGATTTGACAATAACCACAAGCCACTAGTACACGATAACCTTATTGATGCTAAACAACTACAATGTGATAGTAAGAGTATTTTATAAGTTTTAGTTAACCTCATTACATCCATGTCGATGAACTATGTTATAAACATACCTCATTTGTATATAAACTGGCAATAATAACTAAAATTAACAAATGATAACTGCAATGATTTAGGAGATTAACATATAACAACTGCATGTTGGATGTTAATTTATGGTGTTTTGTTTACCTAATTAACATAAAACCTAATCTAATTTTAACCAAGCTTCACTTAATATAGAGTGCATTAAACCTGAAAATAAGAAGAAAAAATGTTACGAACGAAGAAAGCATTTAATATAAAGGTGACTTGCTGGTATTCATACTGTGCTCTATGCACTCTGACAGGGATGATTCAGGAGAAAAATGATGTATACATAGCACGGGGGAAAACTTAATTGAGATGACTTAAGGGGGGACAATATGGTGTAGTCAAATGTGCAATAATAGCAATATAAATGAGGAAGGCGGGGATGAATTTGGGCCCTTCTGTTTAACATGGCGAAAACACACGCACAATCTTGTTTCACACACAAGGTTTGGGTAGGTTGTGCATGTGAAAACATACAACCTTGTGTGTGTTCACATTCAACCTTACTAAAACTAATCCAATTATTTGAGTAAGGTTATGCATTTTGTCTTTGTCCAGATTTTGACTATGTTTTAAGAAAATTTTTCATTGCAAAAATATATATTATATACAGGATAATTTTTAGTAACATAATAGTTTAACATTCTTGTAATTTTAAGGTAGTGCATCTACCAAGCTCTTCCTCAGAGTATTTTTATATGCATACAACCAACCACAAATTAAGCCAAGTACACATTTATGTTAAGGTCTTGAGATCCTTATACAGTACTCTGCTTCTGGAACAAATTGTTTTGTTTGAATTTCTTCATTGCTTTAATCTTTGACTCAATCTCACCCCTTAGGCCCATTCCCGCGCTCTAAGACAACCTGTTCATTTAGTAAGTAACTAAGGAGGAAGCAGCTTTGAGTTACACAGATGTTGCACAGCACATGCATTGTATATGGGAATCTGGGATGGCACTTTTGTTCGTGGCTGTAATGAACCACACTGCCTACTATGTCCTCAGAATTGTAAACATTTCTTCATCAAAATCCACCAGTTTAAGAGTAAAAATTTTGTTAGTAGATTTCTTGATCCTCATGAATTGATTTTACCATTATTCATTCTTATTTTTCTTTTTTCTTGGTTTCTTTTTCTTGTTTTCTTTATCCAGTGCATTGAAATTGACTTTTAAGTATCTGTGCAGCCTTCACTCGGTATATAACCCCCCCCAACAAAAGTGTCAATGAAAAAGTTGACGTCTCGGTAAGAGTATATTATCACAGTGAGGAATTGAGGTACTGCTGTTAGTGGAAGCTTTACCACTTGTAATTTCAGTTGACCATAAATGCTCTTGTATCTCAAACCCTGAATTTATAATTTTCAGGAATCAGTTTGATCTGGTGTAGGTTAATAGCACACCTTTATAATATTAGAGTAACGAATGCTTTATGGCATTTAATATAAACCTTTGGCTAAACTTCAACTAAGCTTTTCAAGATGCATATTTAGCTTTACATGTTAACTATTGATATTTCTAGCATCTCCATGAAGAAGATATTATTCTTACTAGTTAATTGCTATTTTCTGAAAGAACTTTAAAACTTTTTGCAGATTTAATTATTCTATTGACATGGATAGAATCTAACTTTGTGCTTCCTTTACTTTCATTGTCTGAGGCTTATTTCTGTTGATAATAGTTTTAATGCTGTATTAGATTTTTTGCAATTAAAGTAGTGGTGTATGTCTGTATCGTGGGGTAGCTTTGTTGTACAGCTGCACACGTACACCATCTTACCTGCCGGGTTTCTTACCTCTGGTTTCTCTGTTGCCAAATTAATTTTGATTGTTCTATAGATTTTTATTGTAAATTATATTACAAATAGAATTTTGTATTTTGTTGTGTTTATGTTCCAAATTAACTATTTAATATTATCAGTATACTGTATATATTTACAATCGTTTGGCACCATTGAAATACAATGCACAGAATGTGTTCTGTTCTCTAGTTTGTGCTTGTGTGGATGGATTTGCGTATTTATTATTTCAGATAGTCCCCAGCCTCCTCTACGTACTCACAGGGATAGACTTCACTCACTCCCAAACGCAGTTAACAGTGAGTGTCCAGACTGGCATGGCTTTCTGTGGGGAACGTGACTTAATTTGCTTACATGCCTTAAAATTAAAGGAGCACTTTATTTACATAATTTTTAATATTTATGATTGGGGATGTGGGAGGGCAGGGCAGTGGGGATGTGGGAGGGCAGGGCAGTGGGGATGTGGGAGGGCAGGGCAGTGGGGATGTGGGAGGGCAGGGCAGTGGGGATGTGGGAGGGCAGGGCAGTGGGGATGTGGGAGGGCAGGGCAGTGGGGATGTGGGAGGGCAGGGCTGTGGGGATGTGGGAGGGCAGGGCTGTGGGGATGTGGGAGGGCAGGACAGTGGGAATGTGGGAGGGCAGGGCAGGGCGGCGAGGAGACGTGAGAGCAGGGCGGTGGGGGAGGCGTGAGAGGTAATAAGATTTAGTGGGGAGAAGTGCACAATTGCATGCATTAATTATGGATAGGGTGTAAAGGCCATCCATATCTTGGGATATTTTCTGTCTTTGTGCATGTCTTGTGTGTGTGTGGTGTGGTTGTATTTGCACCTGTTAGTATCACTGGGAAGTGAGGTCTAGCTTTATGTCCCCATTTCCTAGCTTTTTATACCAACGCATTTTTAAATCTCTCATCATTTGAGATTTGTGCTCTTGAAGTTTTAAATAGCTATGGGTTCCATGACTGCTACTTTGCGTATTCTAATTGTATTTGGCATTCTTGCATTCTGTTAATCTATAATTTGTTCTCTCTCTTTTGGGGGGTTTGGAAGGCAAAGGGATTTGTATTTTAGGGATAATGCTGAATATTGTATGGTTGGTTCTTGGTGATTGACTGAGGGGCTGGAGCTGCATTCTGCTGGTGTATCATTGTTGCTTGTTTTACCGCACCTGTTTGACTACAGATACCAGTCCCTGCATTTGGATTTTAGTCTGCCTTTATTGTCTTTTGTCATTGTAAATTTTTTTCTATATCATCTTTAGAGGATATCACTATTTACGTAAACCTCCTGATATCTCCTTACTTTCTTAAGTATGCTATGTTTAGGTATTTTGTGTTTCACTTGCTTCTGGGTTGAGTATTATTGTTATCTGTTGCCCCATCCCTGCATGGCACCTCCCTATCTTTTTGAATGTTTAAACCTCCTTTTAACTTGCTTGCCATATATGTTTTTATGATCATTACCTCCATTGTCACTCTTGCCCTTCATTGTGCCCCTTCTGCTGACTCTAGTAATTCATGTGATTATTGATTGTTTCTGTATGTCTATCACGGTGTACTGTACACCCTGTGTAAACTTCAGTTCTCTAAGATAACTAATCATTATGCCTCTTACCACTGCTGTGAAAGTTTTGTCTATTTTATCCTTTGATTGGCAAGTTATCACTTCTACTTTCCACACCTTTATTCCCAAAGTAATCTCATGTCCATGGTCTTTATTAAATTCTTATATTTACTTTCTCATCTTCTAATACAGTACTTTCACTATACAGTACTTTCACTTTCTTGTGCTCTCAATGCTTCCCTTAAGTTCTGCCACCTCCCTCTTGTACCTTTTAACTCTTTCATATAAATCTTTTTCCTTCATTCTACCTCTTTCATTATTTTTTCTTTGATTCTGATAACTCTTTTCTCAAGTGCTGTGTGATCGTGCCTTTACCTATTACCTTGAATTACCCCGATTCATGAATTACCCCGTGAATAAACATATGATAACCACTGTCTAAGGGTTAATATATTGACTTACAATTCATATTGACACTTTACATCATTTATGGATTCCATTTCAAAAACATTTTTAAATGCAATACTGTAAATAGCACTAGTAATCACTCTTGTTTTTAAAAGGCGTATGAATGAAATGCCACTAATATTTACCACTCACAAAATATGAACTTTAGTGTCTTAAACTGTGAAAGAAAATGATCTAAGATAAACAACAATATAAAAAGGGTTCATTAACCTACCTTTTAAGTATTATCTTGATGATTTTCTTACTTTCTGGTTGATTTTCTTGTTCTCAGTTGCTTCTGCTCAAATCATTTACAGATTTCTGTAAAACTAATACAATATACAGGCATACCTCAGAATGCGAGTTTAATCCGTTCCTGGAGACGCCTCGCCTTCCGAAAACTCGCATTCCGAAGTTAATTTCCCCATAAGAAATAAAGGGAAATGAATTAATCCGTTCCTGACTACCCCAAAAACCCCACATCAAACTAAATTTTTATACCTAATTCATCTAAATAAACCTACAAAACTATGTTCCAGTTATTACTTACCTTGCTGTCGAGTGCTGTAGGCGTATGGAAGATGGTGAGGAGGGGGGAGGAGGAGAGGAGTTACTGTTTGGAAGGGGAGTCCCCTTCCATAATCACATCAGGCAGTGAGGACCTTTCTGGTGTGCTCTCCCTGGGACGTTTAACCTGAGTGCCACTAGGTCCTGGTTGAGGCTCACTGCTCGATTTCCTCACCACAAATTTGTCCATGGAAGCTTGCTTTTCCCTTCTTCGCAAGCTCTCTCTGTAGTAAGGCATCACATTGTCATTGAAAAGATTAAGACAACGGCCTACTACAGCTTTGTCTGGGTGAGTATGTTCAATAGTTGTTTGAATCTCTTCCCACATCTGACACACCTTCTTAATTACTGCAGAAGGGACACTCGCTGGTGCTGTTGGTGCTGCTGCCACCTCCTCCTCCACTGCAGAATCATTCGCTGCTGTGTTGGCTTGCTGTTCCTGTTGAAGGGCTAGGAGTTCTTCGGTGGTCAGTTCTTCGTTGTGTTCTTCCACCAACTCCTCCACATCATCACCATCCAATTCCAAGCCCATTTGCTGGCCTAGACTAACAATTTCCTCAACAATAGGCGCATCATTTATAGGCTCAAACCCCTCAAAGTCTAGTTCTCTCACACCTTCAGGCCACAATTTTCTCCAGCCAGAGATCAGGGTTCTTTGAGTCACTTCTTGCCAGGCTTTGTCAACGAGTTTTAAAGCACTACAAATGTTAAAATGCTCTCTCCAGAACTCTTTGAGGGTGAGGTTTGTGGCTTCAGTCACTTCAAAACATTTCCGGAAAAGTGCCCTTTCATACAGTTTCTTAAAATTCGCTATGATTTTCTGGTCCATAGGCTGAATTAGAGGAGTGGTGTTAGGAGGAAGGAATTTAACTGTGAGGAATTTATTGTATTGAGGCATCAAATCATCTTCCAAGCCTGGAGGATGAGCAGGAGCATTGTCAAGGAGAAGCACGGCTTTGAGTGGCAATTGTTTCTCCTGCAGATATTTTTCTATGGCAGGGCACACCACTTCATTCACCCACTCCGAAAAAATAAGCCTAGTGACCCATGCTTTTTTATTAGACTTCCACATCACACACAAACGGGTTTTCTGCACATTATACTGTTTGAAAACCCTTGGATTTTCAGAATGATACACTAGCAAGGGTTTAATTTTCAAATCGCCACTCGCATTTGAACACAGCACAAGCGTAAACCTATCTTTCATAGGCTTGTGTCCAGGCAAGGATTTTTCCTCCTTGGTAATGTATGTCCTCTTAGGCATTCTTTTCCAAAACAGTCCTGTTTCATCACAATTAAACACTTGTTGCGGTAGGTATTCCCCAGTCTCTGCAAACTCTTTAAATTCGTCAATAAATCGTCCAGCGGCTGGTTTGTCTGAGCTGGCTGCCTCCCCATGCCTTGTAACACTATGGATACCACTTCTCTTTCTAAATTTTTCAAACCAGCCCCTGCTTGCCTTAAACTCTTTCTTATCTGCATCACTCGTTGCAGGGGTCTTCTTTAGAAGGTCTTCGTGCAACACCCTGGCTTTCTCACAAATAATGGCCTCCGAAACACTATCACCCCTCAACTCCTTGTCGTGTATCCAAATTAATAACAACTTTTCCACTTCTTCAAGTATTTGTGGTCTTTGTGCCGTTAATGTTCTTACTCCTTTTGCCACATTAGCACTCATAATCTTATTTTTCTTCTTAAGTATAGTGCATATTGTTGATGTGGCTTTCTTGTACTGCCTACAAAGTTCAACAACACGTGTACCGTTCTCATGCTTCCGAATGATCTCTTGTTTCTCCTCTATTGTCATCCTCACATGAGCTTTCTGGCCTTTATCCTTACCACTGGCTTTCTTGGGACTCATGGTGAGATATATAATAACAAATTGTATAGACAAATCACCAAAAATCCAACAAAACACTGAAAATCCGCGACAATAATTGATGTGGGGGTAGTCACTGAGCGCGAGACAATGGTGAACTGAGGGGCAGTGGGGCAGAGGGGCGATGATCGCCGAACGACCACGCGCTAGGTCGGCTGTACGCGTATCAACAAACTCGCGTCCAAACTCGCCTCCCAAAGTAACCATCGCCTTCCGAGACAAATTTTTGGAGTAAATACACCTCGCCTTCCGAAAACCTCGCATACAGGGACAATCGCATTCCGAGGTACCACTGTAATATTAAATAAAGGCATATACAACGTAAACAAATACAGCAATATAGCATTAAATAAAGTTGTAATACATACAAGGTATTAGTTTACACATTTGTACTTCTGTCACATTGGTGCCACACTTGTTCTGTCAATTTTTAACCATTATATTGTATTGTGAATTTCATTTGATCTTGACTTGGTGCAGGTGGCTAAAATTGGGGAGCTAAGTGTTGTGATATTTCCTATGGTTATACACAGTCTGCTGCTGGTAGTATCCCATATCTTGCCCTTCCAGTTGTCATTCTCTCCAGGGAAGGGTCATGGACAATAATACAATACATGTATTTTTGCACATGTTTTTGGACATAAAAACATGTCAAAAACCTGTGATTGCATTTTACTTACTCTACATCTGTGGTGGATATGTGCCCACATATCCACATAAGGCCCACATATGCAACACAGCCTGGCAGGTCCACTTCTTGAAGAAAACTATCCAGTTTTTTCATCTTCAAGACAAAACTGGATAGTTTTCTTTAAGACATGCTACTCCAGCCAGGCTGTGGTGG